CCCGCCCCCTCCCCAGCCTGCCCCCTCCCCAGCCCCACCCATCCCCCTCAAACCCGCTCTCTTTGCTTTCTTGTCTTGCAGAAAGTTAACACAGAGCAATCGGTGAGTGTCCCCCAGAGCCCTGCTGCCCCCTGATCCTGTGCCTGAGCCCATCCCCTTCGGGTCACCCACAGCCAAGGGGGGGCTCAGTGGCACAGCCCTGCCCTGCAGGCAGCCCCTGCCTGACCCCTGCCAGGTGGGGGAGCTCCCCTCAAGCAGGGTGCAGCCTGGCCCTGGTGCTGCCCGCTGCCTCTAATGTTGTTTTCTCCTTCTCTCTGAGCAGTGCTGCTCCTTTGAGTGCCAGGTGAGTCGGGCTTTTGACACCCTCTGTCCCCTTCCCTTGCATCTCCATGGCCCCAGGCTGTGCCTTGGTGGCTGGTCTAACCCATACCTCTCTCCCACAGCCTTCTCGAGGGCCCCCTGGACCTCCCGGTGACCCGGGCAATGAGGTGAGGGACTGGCTGCGGCCATGCTGTGGGACCGGCGTGGTGGAATGGGCTCACTGGGGATGCTCAGAGATCGGTGAGGCATGCACGGGTCCTCAGCACCCCACCACTGCCCCATGGAGAGGTGGATGAGGACCCACACCATGCTCCAACGCAGCTGGCATCATCTGCTTCACACATCCATGGAGCATTCCTGCTACCATCCTCCCTGCCCTCCTTTCAATAGGTCATTGTTCTGTTCCTGGGGATGATGAGCTAACTTTATTTCTGTCCTGTATTGCAGGGAGAAAGAGGCAAGCCAGGTCTTCCTGGCCAAAAAGGAGAGGCTGGAGACCCAGTAAGTAAAGGACTGGCCCTTATGACTCTGCGCAGGGGCTATTTTTTGGCCACTTCTGGCCAGACCTCTTGGGTGCATCCTCACCAGCCCTTGCCCCTGCATCACCCTGTTTCCATGGGGTAGTCAGTGGGGTCACGGCCAGCTGTCCCCCTCTGCAGCCACCCTGCTGAGCAGTGGCTCCTGGTGGGCAGCAGGGTGGCCCCCTCTTCTGTTGCTACAAGGCTTCCTTGTTCCTCACCCAAAATAGCCGTTCCTCCTGGAGGACATGTCTCTGACTCATGTATGCCAGCCCAGGGGTGGACTCCGGGCTCCCTCCCACATCCTCTGACATGACAAGCACAGCAGTGTTACATGGAAACCTTTGGTAAATAATAAGCTAATAGCATGAGGAAACTATTTCCCTTCTCCTCTGTTTTTTTTACTAGGTACACTTATTTTTGGGAGGTGCATTTCTCCCACACACGTGAGTGTGCAGTTACTCATCTTGTGCATTCCCAATTTGGAAACCCCATGCCATGCATTTTTCCTTCCCAAGGGTTTTCTGCCCTTCCCTTTCATCCCAGATGATGCGTCCCCAAGCACTCAGTTTCCCTCACCCCCAGGACGGGCTGGAGATGGTGGAGGTGAAGGCAGGTTCCCTCTGCCCTCCACAATGATCCCATGCTCCCTGACTGGGCAAACGAGGAGCAGAGTTATGGGAGAGCCTCCTACAGGAGGGTATGCTGGCTGGGGCCTGAGCCCCACATCGAAAGCCTGGGGGAAAACTGCCCCATGGCGAGGGTGGTGACAGTATCTGCCTCTGTAACACCATGTTTCTGTCCTCTAGGGCAGGCCAGGGGACATGGGACCTGTTGGCTACCAAGGAATGAAGGTACGTGGGGCTGCAGGGTAATGGGCGTGGTTCCTAGATGGGCCACAGGCTTTGTGCTGCAAGTGTTTTCATTCTGTTTTCCTCTCTCCTTTCATCTCTAGGGTGACAAAGGAAGTCGAGGAGAAAAGGTGAGGACAGAAAGGGTGTTGGGGGGACACCTCTGTGTTCCCCTGCTTGGTTACCCTGGGCTGCCCCTGCAGCTGCATGGTGTTGGGGTCTGGTACGTGCCCGCGCATCCATCCCTCCTGCCGGCACTGCCCGTGCCAGGAGCAGGGATCTGACAGCATCAGCCAGTTTGCAGCTGAGACAGCCTTGGGGATCAGACAAGCACTGTGCAGTGGGTGCAACCAGGCAGAACGGGAGAGACTGGTGGTGTGCAGGGGCACAGTGAATGCCTGCACTCTCAGACCAAGCTGGCATGGGGACCGCAGCGCGGTGGGGGAATGGATCTGCTCTGCATGGGGGCCTAACATCTCTCTCCTTCCCTTTGCAGGGCTCAAGAGGAGCCAAAGGAGCCAAGGTCAGCCTCTGCTTTTGCACCATTTATCCTTTCTGGTTGACGCCTGGAGGGAGAAGGGTCTTTGGAAATCACTTCTTCATGGTCCCTATTCTCCATTTCAGGGTGAGAAGGGCAGGCGTGGAATCGATGGCATCGATGGCATGAAGGTAAATCTCTGCTCCGGGGCACTTTGCTTAGCCTGAGGACCCTGGCTTTTGCCTCTCCAAAACCATTGTGGGGCCCGGGAATGAAGCCATTGTCCCATGTGGGGCAGTGGGGCTGCCTTCCTGCAGGGCTGTCCACCTACCAGCCAGGGACAGGGGCAGGACGTCCCTTTCAGGGCTCTGAGATGATGGAAGGGGTCTTCCCATGGGCACCGCTCATGGAGACCCCTGCTTTGTCTGTCTGACAGGGTGAAGCTGGATACCCTGGCTTACCTGGCTGCAAAGGCTCACCCGGATTCGACGTATGTACCCTGTGGGTGCCTGTGCATGTGAATGAACAAGCACAGCAGGTCTGCCATGATGGCATGTGGAAATGGGAAGCCCCCCAAGAAGGGAACTGTGGGAGGGAGTTGCCGCACTCAGAAACGTGCCTCTAGACATGCAATGCTCATCCCAGGCATGGCACCTCGGGGGTGTCCCCGGGGCAGTCAGCCTTGTCCTTGCCTGGAAGCTGTCCCCCATTGCACGGGGCTGCTTGGGAAGCTGCACGCTGTGGGAGCATTTGACCAGAGGCTGTTCAGCACAGGGAACTCGGCAAAGAAGAGCTTGCAGAGCTTGCAGAGCTCCAGATAGGCAAGCCCAGGATTAACGAATTTCAGTCTGCTGTGACCAGCCACCCAGAAAATGTTGGAGATCTTGGAGGGCTCTGGAAAGCATTATTCTGACATTGCATTTCTCCAGTTTCCCTGCTTGTTTCCGTGCTCCCAGGATGACACATCTGTGGTGGCACCAGTATCACTGCGGTACAGCCACAGCAGCCCAACAACCACCTTTTCTGCCATTTTCCTCTGAGCTGCAGAAGCACTCTCAGTTTTGCAGTGTTTCAGCAACGTGGCCACAGCATTGCTCGCACAGGTCCATGGTGCAAGAGTACCATGCCATCCCTGCATCACTCCTCAGTCCATGCCCAATTTCCCACAGATAGTGATACTGGCTTGGTTTTCAGTGATGCTGCCTTTATTTTCAACAGGGAGCTCAAGGCCCGCCTGGACCGAAGGGAGATCCCGGTGCTTACGGACCCAAGGGAGGAAAGGTGAGCCACTGTGCCCAGCCCCACATGGAAGGAGGGGTGCTGGGACCCCTCTCCTGCAAGAGGGAGAGGTGGCGATTGACCCATCGCTGGCCTCCTTGCACTGCCTGGGGGCAAGCCTATGCTAGAGGACACTGCCTGTCACCCACAGTAAGATCTAGCCGATGTGACTCCCAGCATGCCCAAGGTTAGCAGGTGCCCACAAGCCTGGCACCAGCATCCCTGAGATATTGGGGGGCTGCTGTGACAAGGTGGCTCGCACTGGGCAGGTGGAGTGGGGGGGGGATCTTCTGGGGATGGGGAGCTCCATGGGGAGAGACCACAGCCCAGAAAGGGGCTTGGGGTGCACTGGGGCTCCTGATGGCCTCTACGCCGTGGGAGCTGAAATCCACCGCTGGGCGCTGGATGCAGTCTTGACGGTGCCTTGTGTCCTTGTGAAGGGGGAGCCTGGAGATGATGGAAAACCTGGCCGACAGGGGATTCCTGGCAGCCCTGGAGAGAAGGTGGGTGAAACGCCTCTGTGTGAGCATCCTCTGCCCTCTGTGAGAGGGAGAGATCCCCTGCTCCAGCCTTGGCTTTGAAGCAGAGCTTGCCCAAGGCTCTGCAAGCACGCAGGTCTTTGCTCCGAAACCTGCTGACTTGTCTCATTTGCACCCTGTGGCTTGCTCATGCAGGGTGCACCTGGCAACCAGGGTGAGCCTGGACCGGCAGGAGAGACAGGCGACGAGGTGAGTCCTCTGCCCGTGATGTCCCCCATGCATGCTTGCCAGCCATCCCCACCGCCTGATCACCCCTGTTGTTTCTCTGCAGGGTGCTCCAGGTGTAGACGGTCCTCCTGGAGAACGGGTAAGTGAGGGCACCACTGCCGGGCACCGTGCCTGCAGGCCACGGGCAGGGGCTGGTACCCTGCAGAGGAGGAGGAGGGCTGGGGGTGAGCCCACTCAGAGGTGGGCAACGAGGAAGTGCTTTGCTCCTGCTGGAAGCAAGTCCTGATTTTGTGTTCCCACCATCTCCTTGCAGGGCAGCAATGGAGAAAGGGGCCCCCCAGGCTCACCGGGTGACCGCGGGCCGAGAGGAGAGCCGGTAACTGCATCCGCGGGGCAGCTTTCAGCATCTGCTTGCAAATGGGGTCAGCTTGGCAGCCAGGGGCTGGAAATAGGTGCCCAGTGGCTAACTCCACCAGCTTGTGGGCCAGCAGGCAAGCTCAGTGCCTTTACCTGTCAGCCTCGGGGGGACCTGCCGTTGTCCCCCAGCAATCACCCCTTTATGCTGGCAGCTAATCACCAAACAGCCAAAACCCAGAGGAGAGCGTAGCCAGCAAGCCAAGAGCAGGTGGAGAGTGGTCAGCCCCTGCCTTGCAGCTGCAAAACCAGTTGATGGAGAGCAAAGAGGCAAGGTGTCTTCCTCCGGGTGCTTGGGGGCTGCATGGGGTACCCGTGGCTTGGGCAGGAGGGCACAGGTGCCATTAGTGGCAGGGCAGTGTGCATGGATGTGGACGGGGGGGAACACCCTTCCCTCCCCTTTTGGGTGGGAGTCACTAGGAAAGTATTTTTCCTGCCTGCCGGGGGTGAGTCACCGAGCGTGACTGTGGGAGGGACAGGCAGGAGCCGTCGGCAGGCCAGGACAAACATGTGGCAAGCAGCAGAGGTGCCACGCACACCAGGGAGGGATGAGGGGCGCTGCTGCGCAGCGTGGGGATGGTGGGAGCCAGGGTGTCCAGCAGCAGCATCCTGGTGGGTGGCCAGCCATGTCCCTGCACTGCTGGGCAGCCGCCACCACACTGCTTTTCCCCTGTCCCTGCTGCGAGGACAGCCAGTACCCACCACCAGCTCAGAGGGGCGGGCAGAGGTACGTCCTGGGGAGGGGTCAGCTCTGGCAGGGGGCTGCTGGCAGCCTTCCCCTTCCTGTTTACCACTCGGGGAGCGGCAGCACCACCGCACGTGGTGTGCGGGGCAGATGTGCGCGGGAGATGAAGGCACGCCAGTGTCCTGGAGTTAAATTGTTCAGCAGATGATGGGCTGCTTCCTTCCAAGTTTTAGTCCAAGCACGAGGCTGTGTAACCTCGCCAGAAATGTCTCCACCGGTGCTCAGGGCCCTTTGGAAGTTGAGTTTTATATTTACTGTTTGGCTTAGGCATCTGGAAGCTTCTAGCTTGCAAACAACACCTTTAGGTCGCCAACCTTTCAGCTGCTTTCTTCAAAGTTTTAAGTCAGGTGTAACTGTCACAGGAAGTTTCTGAACACCTCCATTCCCTGCGGGCTGGGGGCTGCCTGGCCCCACGTCCCAGGGCTGCAGGCAGAGCAGCACCTTGTGCAAAGATACTTGTCTTGCAGCACTGGGAGCTGGCTGATCTCGGGGGTGGCTTGGCTGTAAGGTGCAAAGCTCTGTGCTTAGCTGTCGTGCAGCCCTGTGAGGGGTAATGCTCCACTTTTCAGGGGGGAAAGCTTTCTTCTGAATTGCCAGGAGCTTGCAGCAAGCCCTTGGGCTGCAGGGATGGGGGGCTGTGCCTCCTGACTCCTCTTTTGCAACCCTGGCTTGTTCGCTCCTGGCCATGGGTCTAGATGGGGAAGGTGCCCTAGAGCCAGCCCGGCTCTGGCAGACACACTGCCCTGTTGGGACGCAGCTCTGCTAGACTGGTGGAAGGCTGTCCATTTCCACATTGGTTAAGTGAAAGTGGAACTGAGGCATGTCCAGCCCTTGGGCATTTCCTTCTGTTGGAGCTGCTGAGGTGCAAAACCACCCAGACTCAGGTTTTCCAGGCTCTCCTGGGCTGTCAGTTCTCTGCAAACAGCCCTAACCCGGCTCAGGGTGCTGAATGTTAGCAAAGGAGAGGGGAGAGCATCAGCAGTGAGAGGTGAGGACATCCCTCCCCATCTGCTGGCTCATTCCCTTGGAAATCCCCTTAGCTCTGCAGGGATGGCAGGCTGGAGGAAGAGGAGGCTGCTAGACTGGAGTCTCTGCCCATGCATGGGGACAGCAGCTCCTCTCCATGCAGAGACTGCCCAGGGCAGGAGCTGCCCTAGAAAAGCAGCCATGGTTGCAGAGTGTGGCTGGGAAAAGCCACTACAATGTTTTGGGGCCAGGGCCAGGTCTGTGTATCTGCAGAAGCCTTGCAAGATGGATCTCTCCAGGCATTTGCTTTTCTGGCACAAAATGGGCTGAAACTTGTCATCCAGAGGCAAGCACTCCCATCCTTCAGAAGGTCTTCCTCTTAGACCTATCTTCTTGGCTTCAAGGTGGCCACACTAGCTCGTCTTTCTCTCCCCACACCTCTGATAGTTTCCTACCCAGCTCCTGAATCTGCCTCAAAAACCTCCCTGTTTGGATGACTGCATTTCTGTCCAGCATGTACTACCAGTGCTGCATCCCTGCGCCCCCTTGCACGCAGGGGCCTTTGCACCCTATGCCTGTCCCTCTATGAGTTTCTCATGCCCTCTGTGTGCATTTTCAGGGAGAGCCTGGACCACCTGGTGACCAAGGGCGGGAAGGACCCCTCGGACCACCTGGCGACCAGGTAAGAGCTTGGATTAACCTTCTGGATCCCAGGTGGAAGTGGTTGGGGCAGCGAGGAGAGTGGGGTAGGGGGCTTAACTGATGTTGCAGCATCTTGGGGCAAGTTCTCAGCATCTTCCAGACCAGTGATCATCCAAAGCTGGTGAAGAGGGGCAGGAATTTCTAGGAGAACCCATAATATGAACAGGGCTAAAAAAATGGAGACTTGGCTGCTGGGCTGGGGACAGAACAACCTCCACGCCATTTCCCAGTCCCATGGAAACAGATGTCAACACGTCTGACAGATTTGGAAACTGGCAAGTGCAAGCTGCAGCAACGCACAAAATGTTCAGGCCTGGGGCCAGACGCTGCTCAACTCGGTCAAAGGAGTCAATGAGACATCTTGTGTCAGTGAGGATAGCCTGACGGGGCCCCAGTGGTGTCCCTGACACCCTTGGCATCTGCAGAGACAGTCTGTCCCAAAGCCAGCATTCCTCAAGTCCGCTTGCTGCAAGGTCTGGCCCTCCTGCTCTGGGGTCTGCTTGTCCTCATGTGCCTCAAGGAACAGATCTCAGACCCCACAGGCTTTCTGGAGAGCAGAGCTGGCTACCTCCAGCCTGAGGAAGGCTTCTGTCCCCTGCACACTTAAAGGCTCTTTCTTTCCAAAGACGTACCCAGTTCCCAGTTGATAACTCTGGGCCTGGAGGTGTTGCTGGGTTAATCCTCCATGGCAATAGCACTGACTGCAATGGCCAACAGGGTCTTTGCACCTAAGAAAGCATGCTTTGACATCACCCTTGGACGGGGCTCTGTGGGACAACTCCCCTCCTACCCATACCATCAGAGTTCTGATGGAGCCCAAGATACAGGGAAGTATTGAGATAAACATTCCCACACTGGTGGCGCAGGACTTCCACAAGGGGTGAAGCATGGAGACCAGTGTGCGGACAAGGATGAGACAGCTTTTGAACTCCTTTATGGTCGACCAGGTGTTGAAGAGCCCTGAAGGAGATTTGGTGTGCAGGACAGCCATGAAGGGGCCGCTGTTGCGTTCACGTTATCCCCAGCATGGGTGACGCCTGTGGCAGACCTGCACCATGCCGCAGCCTGGGGAAAGGACATGCTTGTGCCAGGGTTGTGCTTGCCTGGAGTCAGGCTTCCCTCGAGCCTGTCTCATGCTAGTGAAGAGCACCAAATTCACACAGGAGGATTGTCCAGATCCTACTGTCTGTAGCTGAGCTGAGCTCCTGCCACAACCAAAGAACATCTGGCAGTATCCAGCTTGTTGGGCACTGCCGTGGTGAGAGGTGTCATTTTGGGAGGTGGCCCTGGTATGAAAGCAGCTCTTTGAATGTGTGCATGTAACGGACCAGTGCTGCAGGCTGACACCAGCGAAGGAGGAAGGACTGGAGCTGCTCTCCGTGTGGTAGAGGTTCATTCCAGGTTCAAGGCAGGGGAAGGACTGCACAGAAGAAGACAGAATTAAGGTGGAGATTTGATGCAAGCCTGGGAGCCAAAGCTGTGCAAGCGTGGTGGGGAGCCAGGCTGGGGTAGATCCTGCCTCCAGCCAGCCTTCACTGCTGAGGAGAAGGAGAAGAAAGGAGAAAGAACGGTCTCCCTGTTGTCACTGAGCCTGTGGGACACCAGTTTTCCCTGAACTTGAGTCAAACCACTGTCAGAGAGGGAAGCACTACAGAAGCAGGTCCGATGCCTCCACAGACCAGAGACTGCCCCAGCACCTCCACTGCTCCAGGGAGATTTCAAAAGCAGTTGCAAAGCGAGGATGTTTTTTCCATAAGCTGAGCAAGAATGCTTTTGCTTGGCTAAATTAAAAATAAATGCGTAATTGGGCTTGGACAAGAGTAGGACTTTGGCAAACACAAGTGTTTTTCAAGCCATGTTATCTGCAAGCTCTGGCTCTTGGAGCATATTTCTCTTGGCAAGGGGAAAGGGCTTCCGCTAACCTGTGACTCCCTTTCATCCTCTTTCTATCCAAGAGAAGCTAAAGGTCAGCACACTCTTTCCCTGATCCTCATGGGCAGGTTTGGTGGTCCCTCTCTCTTCCTGGCCATGGTGCCCATCCCTCCTGTGGTTCTTGTCACACCCAGAAAGGTAGCGGACAGGGAGCTGCTAAAGATTTCCCGGCCCAAAATCCTGCATCTTCATAAACTCCTCCAGGGCCGTGAGGGATTTGCACTGTGTGCTACAGTGAGGACATGTACAGCCACAGCACGAGTCAAGGGTGCTGTGGATCCAGCTTTGGCTGATGCAAACGATCATGAGTTCCTGTCCCTCCTTCCCAGCTTTCTCTTTTCTGGGCTTTTGTGCAGAAATAAGGTCACATGCCTTTGAGCAATTTAGTGCTCTGCACTGCACTGTGTAATTTTAAGTCCTCTGCACCCACATGTACACCTTTCCTTGGAAGAAGGGCGTGTGCAGCATGCATGGATGTTTGGCACCAGCTTCTCCCAGCTGCTGTCATGTGAAGAGGAGCAGAGACAACAGCTGGAGGGGATTTCAGCTTCCTCAGCTTTTGGGTGCTGAGAGAGCAGCTGCAAAGCTGGGCTAGGCTCAGCCACCGCACTGAGGCAGTTCCCAAAAAGCTCAGAGGTGCTGCTGATGCACTGAAAATATGGAGGAAGCTCTTGGGCACGCACCACTGTGATGCTGAAGCCCAGGTACTATTGAGTGAGTGCTGCCTTCCACCTGCCAGGAGACTACAGTCACGTGGGTTGTTGCAGGAAACATTTCAGAGGTCAGGAGTCTTGAACTGGCACGCCCGCTGCCTGCAGCAGCAATGCTGGAGGGGGCAATTGGCGAACCATCGCTCTCTCCCACCACAGCTTGCTCTCTGCCTTCCCTCTGCCTACCTCTGTCATCTCCATTGCCTGGGGACTGGTTGCACACCCAGCTCCGTGTGAGTGCTGCCTTGTTCGAGCATTTGGACCCGTGGACGAGAGCATCATTACCCACCATCATTACCAATCTCCTGGCAAGTAAACCCCACGAAGGACTGTTGACACCGAGCAGAAGGTGGAGGGGCTCCCTTGGACATCTGTTGGAGCTCTTGGAGAGAAAAAAAAAAAAAAAAAATC